ATGAATCGTTTTTTCTCGTAAAGGGGTGTTTGATGCATGAAAAGGGGAACAACTTATGTGGATACTACGTTTGCGAGCACCTCGTGCAGTACTCATTGAAAAACAAGTGAAGAGTACCTCAAAGTACATAAACAATATACGCATTTTGTTTATTACTATTTGTTGGACGTGATTTTGTACATGTTATCTAAACCCTCGATATTTATATATGCGTATTAAGAGGCAAATACGTGCAAAGGCAGAGTCATCGAGAGAACCTGAAGGGTTGGATTAGAGTGCATGCGTGCACGTGCGCTCTCAATCTCGAAGCGTATACATTTATTTATTTAATGATGGTAGGCGAAAATGATTAAGGGCCTCATATGATGGAAGAGCCTATGGCGTCTGAGATTACCTCGATCATCGATCGGCCCGTCAAGTTGATCGAACGGCGCGTTCTCCTGTAAGCATGCGAGGCCGGGTATGTGAAGATTACTTGGGCTGATTATTACCGGTCATTAACGTACAGTAATCTCAATTATAGGCCACCAGGGAGCGATTCTCCCATGGCCCATGCAAGCACGTACGTGTGCCCACATGGACGGACTAGTATTGTTAGCTCTCCTCTCCGGAAAGCTAGCAAGCCTACAGACGCGTACATCTCCTCGGCCAGGATATACTCGGCTCGCACGCGTATAAATACACCGCTGCGGTAATACGTACTGTACCTGGGCCGGGAGCCCGAGAGAGTTCTAGAAGCTCCTAGATACTAGTGGGCCGCGCGATACCGCGGCGCTCGGCGATCATCAGATGCGCGGAAATGATATGCCACCGCCTGTAAGATGATGATGAAGCTTCTAGAAAGAGCATGCATACATGCGGGCATGCCTAGTTGGGGCCACCGGTCAGCTAGCGAAGTAAATATATGAGACGTGTATCTTCAGCTTTGCGAGTCACCGCCTGGGATATGAAAGGATAAACTCGATCTACCGAGGATAGGATCAATTCGAAATTCTAAAAATGCCTCCACGCCTTGCGCTTGCCGCTCGGAGAAGGACAGTGTCCAGGCTTCGCCGTCGTCGTCGCCGACGCTGACACCATGGCTCCTGCATCCGAGGCTAACCCAGGTTGAGATCTTTTTGTTTTGTTTTCTCTCCTTCCCTCTTAGATAGGTCGTATGCATCCATGGCGTACAGGCAGTTGCCCTTGCCGTCGACGTCCGGAGGCCGGAGAGAACACGAGGGAGAGGTACACGGCTGACGGAGTTCATCGCCGTGCAACTGTCTTCAGGCCGTCGCAGTTGTTCGGCGGGCCAAGACCCCTCACGGCCAGGCCACCTCCATCAGCAGGTGCCGGCGTCACGCTGTTGCCGGAGCTCGTCCTTGTACCGTACAGCCCCTCGCCACCCTGCCGGAGTTTCGATGGCCTATCCAAGACCGTCCGTGATCCGCGGCTGCGCTGACTCAAGGAGGCGTCTCGGTGCCAACATAGCAAGGACGGTGGGCTGCACGACCCTGGTGCGCCCCACTCAAAACACCGCGCCGCCGAAGACGATGATCCGGTCCAGGAGTCAAAGGCGCCAGGGTGCCGCAGCGTTGGCCCGGTAGGCCTACGGTCCGAAACATCACATGTCGGCTTGTGGCGGGCCGATAGGCCTACAGTACGGCCCTAGCAGAGGTCCGATAGGTCTACTGTACCAACCTCGCCTGTCGGCCAGTGGAGGGCCGATAGGCCTACAGAACAGCCGATAGGAGTACTGTACCGTGACCTCATCCTGTCGGCGGTTTCTGGAACATCCGTAGAGGTGTACTGCATCTACAATTCTTTCCGAACAAATCCTAGATTCGTGATTCATTATTAAATAATATTGTTTAAAAAAAACGAGCCCGATGTGTACATAAACAACCGATGTTTTTTTACGTACAACAAAAAAGTTACTTCGAGTGCTAACATCTTTGGGGATGTAGCTCAGATGCGGATCGATACCCCGCATCTCTATTTTGGATTTTTTGGTTTCATTTTCTATTTTTTATTTTGATTTTCTTCTTCCTCCATTTTGAGATTTTGAGCAGCCTTAGCTAGCGAGCCTATCTGCTCACGTGGCTCTCCCTCGTGGCAGGGCCATCAAAGCAGCGGTGGCACAAGGCCGTGGGTTTTGTGATGTCTGTTGTGTATAGGCCGTACTTGTCAGGCTAGCTTAGTTTGAAAAAGGGCTCGACGATTTGTACTTGAGCCGACCATTGTGTCTATGGATGACACGGTTTGACGACACATACGTAGCATGTTTTAGTAGGATATAAGATCAGGTCATATTATCCGGGTCTATACTGGGCGGGCTATATAGCCATCTATAGGCCTAATACTAATATACCTGGTGTTTGCATACTTGGGGTGGGGCCCTACCTAGCTGGGGGCCCAGGGCGGCCGCCCCGCTTGCCCGCATCCAGGGCCGGGCCTGGCTCTGGCACCTATCACCGTCGCTGGACGCGCTACTCACACCATGTGCGCACTGGAGCCGGCGAGGGGGTAGGCACAAGCGTGAAGCCACAGGCGGCGGAGGAAGGCTGAACGCAGCAACCTGAAGAGACATGCCCGAGAGAGAGAGGATAGGTGACAGAGAAACAATGCATTCAATGAATATGGGCTCACCTATAGAAAAGTTGCACTGTGACGCTGAGTTTCCATGAATTGTTATTTTAGTGATCCAGCATGCATGGAGATCACATAATGATTTAGGCTGGGATAGTTCTGACAGAGCATGTCACCATATTGAGTGATTGAGTGCTAATCGAATCTATTATATTAAATTTTGTTCATTTTATCGTTGTTATATGATCTACTATATATGCTTTTCTGTGGTGCATCATTTTATGGGAGCACCCAAATCTCGATCGATGATAGGGTCACGAGTATTTCCGTTCCATGTATGACTATGTGGTATGTCTCATAGGTGACACAAGTGGCGGTTTAATAAAATTTTCCGGGCTAAAAGCGTAAAGCATAAAGCATAAAGCATAAAGCAAGAGAGATGCATTTGTCATGATTAATGTGTTTTTATTTTCCATTTGTCTTTTTGAGTTATGATGGTGATTTTAGTTTTGTTTTTCTATGCATAGTCCTTCAGATTCTTTAATTTATATTTTTGGAAGTATTTATATCATCGTAATTTGGATTTACATATGTTTCAAACTCGAATTTTATATCTAAATAACCCGCAGCAACGCGCAGGGTATCCATCTAGTATTACAAAATAGAGAGGCCTCCATCAACTAGGTGTGGTACTAAACCAGTTATCTGCCCATCTTCTTTTGGTCTCTTAGTACAGCCAACATATCAGCTACAGGATTATAAAGCAGTGGAGACTGGATCTCCCTGCCACAGACCTTTGTTAGTCTGGAAGTGCCTACCCACATCGTCGTTTCTCACTTTTATTCCAACGCTTCCCTTACTTACGAACTGGTTTATCCATTGGTTGGGCAGTGCCTGGGTAAAGTTCACTTCGAAACACCATGGTGATTGGAAGGTACGTACCTCCTGTGGATATAGTCCAATACCAAGTAAGTACTAGCTAGGCCCCCACACCTTTATTTAATTAGTTCAATTCACTATTAACATGCTTCATTAGTTGATGAATCGTTTTCTCGTAAAGGGGTGTCTGATGCAGGAAAAGGGGAACAACTTATGTGGAGTCTATGTTTGCGAGCACCTCATGCAGTACTCATTGAAAACAAGTGAAGAGTACCTCAAAGTACATAAACAATATACGCATTTTGTTTATTACTATTTGTTCGACGTGATTTTGTACATGTTATCTAAACCCTCGATATTTATATATGCGTATTAAGAGGCAAATACGTGCAAACGCAGAGTCGTCGAGAGAACCTGAAGGGTTGGATTAGAGTGCATGCGTGCACGTGCGCTCTCAATCTCGAAGCGTATACATTTATTTATTTAATGATGGTAGGCGAAAATGATTAAGGGCCTCATATGATGGAAGAGCCTATGGCGTCTGAGATTACCTCGATCATCGATCGGCCCATCAAGTTGATCGAACGGCGCGTGCTCCTGTAAGCATGCGAGGCCGGGTATGTGAAGATTACTTGGGCTGATTATTACCGGTCATTAACGTACAGTAATCTCAATTATAGGCCTCCAGGGAGCGATTCGTGCATGGCCCATGCAAGCACGTACGTGTGCCCACATGGACGGACTAGTATTCTTAGCTCTCCTCTCCGGAAAGCTAGCAAGCACTACTGGAAACTCACATTCTTCCGTGCGTGCGAAAACGCACAGAAAAATGCGAATACCGTCAGAAAAATATTTTTTTGACGGTGAACGCTCAAAAAAATACACACAGAAATATGATGTCAGAAAAATTGATATTTTCTGTGTGTTCACCGTCAAAAAAATATTTTTCTGTGCGTAGTACACTCACAGAAAAATGTGACAGCCCAGATTAAATATATTTTTAGTGTGTGTGAAACCACACAGAAAAAAAGTAAAAACCCGCCAGAAAAATAATTTTTCTGTCGTTATCATCCCGACAGAGTTGTAGCTGCCCACTCACAGAGAAAAGCTTATTTTTCTGACGGGCACGGCTAACGATAGAAATATAATATTTTTCGGACGGGCATTTAAAGCACCGTCAGAAAAAACACACTTAAACATGCAGAAAAATTAGATACAATAATTATTTAGGAACAGTACCAACATCATATTAAAATAGAGATTGTCCATACAATAATTTCATTACTGCATAATAAATAGCACACATGTAAACATCCAAATGTTCAACACATTCATTCATAGCATCCAGGGCTATAAGTAGATGATGTCCAAATGGTCCCAAGATCGATACATTCAAAAGCATTATCATCTCATCTCAGCAGTTCAAGTTTTAGCTGAGATGCAGCATCGGGTAAAACTAAAGCTAACGGATAAGAGGCAGCTACTAGTTCATGTGCATAAGCACAACTCTACAAAAGAAACTACCACCACATCCATGTTTTGCAACTAAACCATCAGATTATCGATGCATGATCTCCATTGTTGTCGAACCTTGATTGTTGCCAATGTTTACAAAGATGGAGATCCTCATTGGTGTGGCAAACATCATTAGCATTGTTGTCGATTCTCGAGGCAGCATGAAGAGAACCAGCTGCCTAAATGTGAACAAAGTTACAACAGAAGTGGAATTGTCTCCAAACAATATAACACTTTTAGCAAAGCTTCTAAATTGGACAAGGTTACAGGAGTAAGTAAAATTGGACAAAGTTTAAAGTGTTCCAACTGTAGGTTTTCAAGGAGGTGTGAAACATTACAAACCAACATAAGGCCACTTCCTCATTGCAATAGCCATACAAATTCACTTTGCAGTAGCTATACAACAATCAAGATGAGGCCACTTCCTCACCGCTTGTACTCTGTGTTGCCATTCTGAATAGGACCCCACAAAATACTAATCAGTTTGTAGTTCCTTTCCATCTTAAAATCTCTAAGTCATGGATCGGATGACTAGAAAACATATTGATTGTGGAATGAAGATATACTCACAATTGCTTGCGTGAGCGGACAAATGTCGTAACGCTTCTTTCCGGCACAGCCCTTCCTGCCTCTCCCGATAAAGATTCTACAAGTGTATTGCAAGCATAGATACTTCATATCAACTATTAGATAATTCACATATAATATTGGTGAAGTATTTACAAGAGCATAGCACATACCAGTACCAAGCCTACAAGAACGTTGCTTTGCTGCAAAGCATTGTCCTTGTCACGATTCTCTTGTTCTAGCCTTCCATTTGCACGACGTAGCTCTTCCATTTCACGAGATATGTTTTATGTAGTCGCTTTGAATTTGATGGATGGACGCTTCTTTCCCTTCCGCTGCCCTCACATCTGAATACTTAACCGCACCATGTGCTATGGCAAGACGCCCATGCTTTCTCGGGGCACCACTAGACACATCATATAGCGCCTTCTCATTTAAATATTGTTGTTGCTCAACCTCATGCCCATCCACTTCCATGTCTTGCACTGTCTCCATCCTCTTCGTTTGCACATTCTATCCTCTTAACAGCAAAGAAAGTAGTCATCCTACAAAGACCAGAACAAGGAAACATGTTCTAGAGATGTACAAATAGCCAAAATATGCTAACTTTGTATTCTGAATTTTTGGACAGCAGCAAGAAAGTCACTTCAATAAATCATAACTAGAGATCCAGATCACGAAAAAATATGTTCTTTAACATTTTGAAAATCTTAAGAAGTTCTCCACATCTTTCTAGTTATAACATAGACCTGATTCTTAAGTTAACAGGTGAAAAAGCACAAAGAAGCATTGCTACGCAGAGATATGAACATAACCTAGCAGAAAACTTCAGAAAAATGTAACTCCCAAACCTGATGACCTGAAGTCATGAAATTTTTCAGCACACATGTCACATACATACCATGAGTTTCTGTGCTAAAGTAGTTCCGACATTGTGCACAAGGACACTTAATAGTATCATTTTCAGCTACACCAGAATTGAAAATGCAATATTCAAGAATCCATTGGTTCCATCAACCCATTCATTTGAGGGAGCTTTGCCACGTTGCCAACCATTATACATCCATGTTCGGTTTGACATATTAACTAATTACATTTCAAATATTAATATATTAGATACCACAACAAAGGAAGCTCAATTATTTTTAGAGCAAGAACGGGCATTCTAAACTCGCACAAGTGGGCACACAAGTAGAATTTAGCATAACAACATACAACAATTTTATGCGGTGAAGAAATAAGTGTACCTTGAGTCTCAATCAGAGGTCCTCAACAATTCTTTAGTCTTGAAAGTAGTACACAGCAAATCCAATAGGAAGCTTCAGTCCTTGCCAGCCCAAAGACTTCACTGCAAAGACTCCTTCCTTAGCCCAAAATCTTCAATGCAACACTCCGCTTAGCACAAAATCTTCACTGCAGCAAGGACACGCAAATAAATAGATGTCACAACAATGACAACTGCATTATTCGGATGAAAGGACAAATATTCCGAAAATCATACAAGTAGACACTCAAATAAACCGTAGAATAACAGGACATCATATTCCAAAAATCATACAAGTAGACACTCAAATACAACTGCATTATGATTCAATCTCATTTGTTGTACGGCGTTTCCTAAAAAAAGGTCGCATAACGTGGCCGTGGTTAGGCGCAAGTGCACAACTGAGCAATATATGTATCATATATATCTTAGTTGTTATGCTTATGCACTGCTTTTAATTGTATTTATCTCACATATATCATACACTAGCTCATTTGTTCTCAAATTGGCATATTAGTTCTTTTATATCTCTTGCATATGTTGAATTAATGAATTATATATTATGTCACTACAGACTGCTACTGGACATAAGAAAACATCCACCTAAAATTTCTAGCGAGCTCAAATCACTTTGGACATATCAATACATCCACAAAGAAGACAACTCAAAGATTTCATTTGTCACCTAAACATTTTCACCTAGAACACTTCAGGTCTTGATCTTGACATCCAACAGATCATAAAGCTCAAATCAAAAATTTCCACACAAATCTAAGCTCTCAAGAACCCTACCGCTCTGAGCTCTGCATCTAAATCCTCTTCTGCGACGAGACGAGTCTCACTTACCGGACAGCGCGGATCGACGGGTGACCGGAGCCAAGCTCACTTTGAAGGTTGTAGCACGGACCCCAGCCGGACCTAGGCGAGAGCACGGAGAGGGCGCGGCAGCCGGGCGAGCTAGGTAGAGGAGGGCGCTCAATCGATGGCGATGGCGGCGGGGAGCTTGGAGAGGCGCGATCTAGAGGCGAGAACTTCGAGAGACGCTGAATCGGCCCGGCAGCATGGTTGCGGAGGGTCCTGCTGGCGGCCTTCTGGGGGCGTCTGAGCGGCAAGCAGGGTGGTGTGTGGCCATGCATGCGGGCGTGGCGGCGGCGGCGTCGCGTCTGAGCAGCGGCAATGCGAAGCGTCTGGCGCTGCGCAGTGGCGGCGGCGGGCGAAGCGGCGCGTGGCGTGAAGAGCCACGAGCGCGCGCCGCTTGCGTCATGGGCGGCGTGTGGCGGAGTTAGGGGGGAACATGTGCGTGTTGGGGCAGCGGGCAGCGAGTTAGGGTTAGGAGTCTTTTGCTTTTTTATTCATTAATGTATTTTCATTTCGTGACAACGCGCCAACACCGAAACGAAGAGCGCGAACGCCAAAATGAGAGCGCGAACCCCAAATCCTAGTGGTCGTTTCAATTTTTCGTGCGTGTGTATGTTTTTTCCGTGTGTGTTTTCAAAAACCCGGCGTAATAATATCAATTTTACTGTGCGTGAACATAATTTTTCCGTAAATGTCGAGACCACCGCCGAGAATAATTGAAATTTTTCTGTGAGTATGAAGTTTTTCCGTGTGTATATTTCCACGCACGGAAAAAAACATATCATTTTTCATGGTGTTATTGTATTTGTCCGACGGGATTATTTGAAACGCATGCGAATAATTTTAATTTTTACGTGCGTATATAAAAACGCACGTAAAAAATAATCACACACACGAAGAAAATGAGTTTCTGTAGTGAAGCCTCTGACGCGTACATCTCCTCGGCCAGGATATACTCGGCTTGCACGCATATAAATACACCGCTCTTGTAATATCGTCATTGTACTGGGCGGGGCAGCCCGAGAGAGTTCTAGAAGCTCCTCGATACTAGTGGGCGCGTGATACCGCGGCGCTCGGCGATCATCGATCTTGAAATGATATGCCACCGCTGTAAGATGATGATGAAGCTTCTAGAAAGCGCATGCATACACGGGCATGCCTAGTTGCGCCACCGGTCAGCTAGCGAAGTAAATATATGAGACGTGTATCTTCACTTTGCGAGTCACCGCTGGGATACGAAAGGATAAACTCGATCTACCGAGGATAGGATCAATTCGAAATTCTAAAATGCCTCCGCGCCTTGCGCTTGCCGCTCGGAGAAGGATGTCCGAGCTTCGCCCGTCGTCGCCGCCGGCAATGACACCATGGCTCCTCGCATCCGAGGCTAACCTGTGTTGAGATCTTTTGTTTTGTTTTCTCCTTCCCTCTTAGATAGGTCGTATGCATCCATGGCGTCATGAGCGCTTTGCCCTTGCCGTCGACGTCCGGAGGCCGAGAGAACAGGGGAGATGTACACGGTGACGGAGTTCATCGCCGTGCAACCGCTTTTCGAGCCGTCGCGATTATTCGGCGGGCCAAAGACGCCTCACGGCCAGGCCACCTCCATCAGCAGTGCCGCGGCGTCACGCTGTTGCCGGAGCTCGTCCTCGTACGCATCACAGCCCCTCGCCACCCTGCCGGAGTTTCGATGGCCTATCCAAGACCGTTAAGTGATCCGCGGCTGCGGCTGACTCAAGGAGGCGTCTCGGTGCCGGCATAGCAAGGACGGTGGGCTGCACGACCTGGTGCGCCCCACTCAAAACACCGCGCCGCCAAGAAGCGATGATCCCGTCCAGGAGTTAAAGGCGCCAGGGTGCCGCAGTGTTGGCCCGGTAGGCCTACGGTACCGAAACCTCACATGTCGGCCTGTGGCGGGCCGATAGGCCTACAGTACGGCCCTAGCAGAGGTCCGATAGGTCTACTGTACCAACCTCGCCTGTCGGCCAGTGGAGGGCCGATAGGCCTACAGTAGGGCCGATAGGAGTACTGTACCATGACCTCATCCTGTCGGCTGTTGGTGGGCTGGCAGGACAACAGTAGGCGTTCCGGTTTCTGGAACATCCGTGGAGGTGTACTGCATCTACATTTCTTTCCGAACAAATCCTAGATTCGTGATTAATTATTAAATAATATTGTTTTAAAAAAAATCGAGCCCGATGTTTTTTTACGTACAACAAAAAAGTTACTTGGAGTGCTAACATCTTTGGAGATGTAGCTCAGATGCGGATCGATACCCCGCATCTCTATTTTGGATTTTTTGGTTTCTTTTTCTATTTTTTATTTTGATTTTCTTCTTCCTCCATTTTGAGATTTTGAGCGGCCTTAGCTAGCGAGCCTATCTGCTCACATGGCTCTCCCTCGTGGCAGGGCCATCAAAGCAGCGGTGGCACAAGGCCGTGGGTTTTGTGATGTCTGCTGTGTATAGGCCGTACTTGTCAGGCTAGCTTAGTTCGAAAAAGGGCTCGACCATCTGTACTTGAGCCGACCATTGTGTCTATGGATGACATGGTTTGACGACACATACGTAGCATGTTTTAGTAGGATATAAGATCAGGTCATATTATCCAGGTCTATACTGGGCGGGCTATATAGCCATCTATAGGCCTAATACTAATATACCTGGTGTTTGCATACTTGGGGTGGGGCCCTACCTAGCTGGGGGCCCAGGGCGGCCGCCCCGCTTGCCCGCATCCAGGGCCGGGCCTGGCTCTGGCACCTATCACCGTCGCTGGACGCGCTACTCACACCATGTGCGCACTGGAGCCGGCGAGGGGGTAGGCACAAGCGTGAAGCCACAGGCGGCGGAGGAAGGCTGAACGCAGCAACCTGAAGAGACATGCCCGAGAGAGAGAGGATAGGTGACAGAGAAACAATGCATTCAATGAATATGGGCTCACCTATAGAAAAGTTGCACTGTGACGCTGAGTTTCCATGAATTGTTATTTTAGTGATCCATTATGCATGGAGATCACATAATGATTTAGGCTGGGATAGTTCTGACAGAGCATGTCACCATATTGAGTGATTGAGTGCTAATCGAATCTATTATATTAAATTTTGTTCATTTTATCGTTGTTATATGATCTACTATATATGCTTTTCTGTGGTGCATCATTTTATGGGAGCACCCAAATCTCGATAGATGATAGGGTCACGAGTATTTCCGTTCCATGTATGACTATGTGGTATGTCTCATAGGTGACACAAGTGGCGGTTTAATAAAATTTTCCGGGCTAAAAGCGTAAAGCATAAAGCATAAAGCATAAAGCAAGAGAGATGCATTTGTCATGATTAATGTGTTTTTATTTTCCATTTGTCTTTTTGAGTTATGATG